GGCATCATCACCCTTTTTCATCACTTCAGCTTCAATCTCGACTTCCCCCATCACTGAACGCCAGGATTACTCGCTCTCTTAAAAAGCACTGCAGCGGAAACATCAATCTTTGTTGGGGCTATCACGTTAGTCGGCTCGAAGAAAAAAGATGGACGACGACGCGCCTTCCGTCACGGCGCGCCCTGAGCACGACCTCATCAAGCCCGAACGGTACGACTCGGAAGACACACGAATGGCTGACGCGAAGCCAACATACAAGTCGTGGAAGAAGAAGTATCGCAAGATGCGCATCACGTTCGACCAGAAGATGCATGATGGCGAGGAACTGCACAAGCAGGAGCAGAAGGCACTTGCCATGGCGAAGCGGATCGCAATTGAAAACGAGTAAGTCCCCTGCGAGCATTTCGCATTCACGGGTCATGGTCTCGCGATCGCTCAGATGGCTGTGTCTGGTTCTCACACGCATTACAGCCGTCTGCTCGACCTGCTCTTGGAGCTCAACGAGTCGCACCAGATCCCCCTAGAGAAGCGACTCGACATCGCTCTCACGCCCCCAGCCGACGATGACAATCTCGATCGCGACCTCCCGAAGCCCACCAAGTCTCTCGATCAGGTGCTCCAAGACGTACCACACACATCCTATGCCCAGGCGAAGGAGCGCTTCCCGACCGTCGTCGCCGACATGGAGCCTTTTGCCGGCGAAGCGAATCCGCCTTCATTCCTCAACCCTGATGATATCGATGAATATCTCTGGGACCTTGACAGGCGCATCGACGACAGCGACATGCTGCCCACGCTGGCGCCTTCTGCCCGTCCCAACACCCTCACGAACACCAACAGCAGCAGCCAAAACATAGCCCTCCGCAACCCTACCAGTGTCTACAACTGGCTTCGCAAGAACGCCCCCAAGACGTTCCTCCAGGATGCCGAGCAGGCAGCTCCGGCGGCGGACAAGGACGACGCGCACCATGACGAAGCACCGGCCACTGATGTTAAGCGCAAGAGGAAATCGGGAATCGGGGCCAGTGCCGCCAAGTCGGAGCGCGGCGGCGGACGCGGGTCTCGGGGCGGCAAACGACGGAGCGGCATCGACCGGCTCAGCGTGTCACAGTCTCACAAAGAGGCCGGCGACGAGCCCCAGAGCGGCACCCGCGAAGCCTTCGCCGACAAGGATGGCGACCTTTTCAACCTCTCGTCCACCAGGGGTCCCGCCAAGCGCAAGCGTGACGAGGACGTCAGCTATCGGCCCAAGGGCGGCTCGAGCGGCCGCCCCAGCAAAAAGAAGCGCAAGAGCGGCGGCGAAGGGGACATGGAGACGCCTTCTGGCAAGCCTCGGCGCGGCGGTAAGGGCCGGACGCCCACGGGCTCGCGAGGCCGGTCCCTGGCGGAAGACGCGCATGATGACTGAGGAGGCTTCGATGCGGTTCCAGTGTTTCATGAGATATGGCCAGCCGTGAACCATGCTAGTATACTCTACTGGGCACTTCGCTTTGAAGGCGTTTTGGGGGGTCTTTATTCGAGAAGACGACATGTGTTAATGCGTGGGTTATATGTATACATAGTGAAGCTCGAGTCTTTTTGTGAGCAAACGGCGTTCGGTGGGGGGCGGACTCAGTTGACCATCAAAGTGCGTCCGTAGCTAGGCCGCACTGGTGGTGAGCCAGATCAATTGCTATAGAGGTTGTTCACGATTCCTTGACACCTTTGCTCCTCTGTTCTCGAGCACGTGTTGCTGCCGATGGCTGTTTCGTCGTCATGCTTTGACGGTGACGATCGACCTCGATTGCCAGCCGCCATGGAGCCTCGCCCAAGGCCGTGAGTCACTGCTGGAGAGTGACACAGCTGATGGCAAGTGTGCGAGGCAGTTAAGTGACACGATCGGTCATAAACCGGGGATACTCGTAAACCGACGATAGCCCTGATGTTCCAGAGACAGCTGGTGGGTTTTGGTGGTGAGCGACGAGAGCGACATCGGATGCGGCGGGTCCACCTGGACTGGGCCTTGCTGCCAGGTCCAGGGCGGGTACACTAGGTCTGATTGGGATGAGAGGTGAGTCTGTGGCGCCGCCGGTGTAGTAATTCGTGGATATGCAGCAAGCAGTGCTCAACATCACGAAAGCAGCGCGCGTCGCATTCCCACGCCGAATCGACTCTGTTGCCCATGTGGTTGCAGAGCCCGAGTCAGCAGACGGGTGAATCGGGGGGGTCGGGTGCATCGGGCCAGCGGCAGCCCGAAGGGGGAAGGTGGTCATCTGCGAAAGCTCTCCCCGCATTCAGTCGATCGGTACCTGAGGTGGCCTGGCGACGCAGGAAATTGGGGCGGTTGTTTCGGTGTGGGTGTATGCATTGCTGTATGGCACCACATAGGGACTCTTAGCGGTAGGTACAGGCATTTCGTGGTGAGTGACTTTTTGGGCATGACAGCACTGTATCAGTCAAGAGACAGGGGGAGCAGGAGCAGACGGCGGAACCCTGGTCGCCCCGCAGAGAGCTTTTTCAGCGATGGCCGGGGCTCGGGGCTCTGGGAGGGCGAGTTCGCAGCTTCATTGACTCGACTGGAAGGAGAAACCGGCGAGCTCTTGAACAGGCTGATGTCCCGCCTGCTCCTGCCTCCCATCCCCATTCCCATCTCATATCCTCATCCTTCATCCCACCCACCGTCGACTTGCGTCTTCCAACGACAAGTCACCACCACCTTTGCTCTCCCCCGCCTCTTCCATTGCCCCATAAGAGAGACAGCTGTGCCGCCTCTTGCTCTCTCCCGAGACTTTTCTTCTTCTTCCTCTCCTCGACATCCCCCCCCCGAAAAACGTCATCGACGGATTTCTCTCGCCCGTTGCGACAGCGACAGCAAGCAACAGCAACGACACCAGCGAAGAGACATCGATCAGCCAGCTTCCTGCAGCCTTCCCTCTGGTGGTGGCACCCAGATCTGCATCCCGTCGAAACCGCCAATTGAACTCGCGCGCGCCCACTGCAGGCCGAGAGGACCCTCTGAAGCTCCTACCGCTTGTACCGCTCACGCATTACGCTATTCGGTAAAGCCACCCGGCCAGCTTCAGCACCTCGGCATTGGCCTCGTTGCTTCTTCCCTCCTCCCGACGGCCCCTCTCTACAAACCGACCCCTCCCGTCGTGTGCGCCTCTGCCGACCTTCTTCACTATGAACTCCCTCCGCGTCGCTCTCCGCCCGTGCTCTGTTGCCGCCTCCTCTCCCGCCTCTGCATCCTCCATTCTGCGCCGCGCCGCCGTCCTCTCGTCGTCGCCCTCCTGCTCTCCCGCATCTGGCCGCACCCTGCCCCGCGCCGCCTTCTTCCAGTCCAGGACCATGGCCACCGTGAAGAAGATCAAGGTCAAGAACCCCGTCGTCGAGCTCGACGGCGACGAGATGACCCGCATCATCTGGAAGGACATCAAGGACAAGTTCATCCACCCCTACCTCGACATTGACCTCAAGTACTACGACCTCGGCCTTGAGTACCGTGACGAGACCAACGATCAGGTCACCATTGACGCCGCCAACGCCATTAAGAAGTACAGCGTCGGCGTCAAGTGCGCCACCATCACCCCCGACGAGGCCCGTGTCGAGGAGTTCAAGCTCAAGCAGATGTGGCTCTCCCCCAACGGCACCATCCGCAACGCCCTCGGCGGCACCGTCTTCCGCGAGCCCATTGTCATCCCCCGCGTGCCCCGCCTCGTGCCCGGCTGGAAGAAGCCCATCATCATCGGCCGCCACGCCTTTGGCGACCAGTACCGCGCCAAGGACCTCGTCGTCAAGGGCGAGGGCACCCTCAAGATGGTCTACACCCCCAAGGGCGGCGAGCCCGAGGAGATTGAGGTCTTCCAGTTCAAGAACGGCGGCGGCGTCGCCCAGACCCAGTACAACACGGACGAGAGCATCAGCGGCTTCGCCCACGCCTCGTTCAAGCTCGCCCTCGACAAGGAGCTGCCCCTCTACATGAGCACCAAGAATACCATCCTCAAGAAGTACGACGGCCGCTTCAAGGACATTTTCCAGGACATCTACGAGTCTACCTACAAGAAGGACTTTGAGGCCAAGAAGATCTGGTACGAGCACCGTCTCATCGACGACATGGTCGCCCAGATGATCAAGTCTTCGGGCGGCTACATCATGGCCCTCAAGAACTACGACGGTGACGTCCAGTCCGACATTGTCGCCCAGGGCTTCGGCTCCCTCGGCCTCATGACCTCGGTCCTCATCACTCCCGACGGCAAGACCTTCGAGTCCGAGGCCGCCCACGGCACTGTGACCCGCCACTACCGCGAGCATCAGAAGGGCAATGAGACCTCGACCAACCCCATCGCCTCCATCTTTGCCTGGACCCGTGGCCTCATCAAGCGTGGCCAGCTCGACGACACCCCCGAGCTCGTCGCCTTTGCCGAGAGCCTCGAGAAGGCCTGCATCGACACGGTCGACCAGGACGGCATCATGACCAAGGACCTTGCCCTCGCCTGCGGCAAGACCGGCCGTGGGGACTACGTCACCACTACTGAGTATCTGAACGCCGTCGAGAGGAGGATGAAGAGCCTCCTGAAGGAGAAGCTGTAAATGATTGTGCCCGAAGGCGGAAGCGACTGGCCTGAAATGACGGCGAGATGGATACCACTGATGAAGGACGACACCTGTGTGGCGGGCTGAGCGGCGGAGGCTTGTGGTTTTTATTCGTGCGGAGAGCGATGCATGTACGAGAATCAGGCTGTGCAGAGCCCCTCGGAGGCCTCGCGCGCAGGCAATGCAGGCTGGCAGGCTTGCAGACAGGGTAGGCCCTTTTCCGATTTGCATCTCATGCATGTTCCTTTTTCGATGGTTGCAGCTACATCGCATCATGTGTGTCCTCGCGGGACATGATCTAGACAGTCGCATGTGGGTATGCATTTTGTATTCGAAGCCTGCGTAGACAGAAATCCTAGGTACGAGTAGACATGTGCATCGAACTCTGCGGCCTCACTCTGGCAGTATATGCTACATTTCATTTCAACGGTCGGAAAGAGGGAAACTTGCCAAGGCCGGCTCGCCAGCTTTGGTTGGCTAGAATGATACTACGTTACACGAGACCTCCCTCTTTCCTCCTTCTCTTCGGTCGTGAGACTTCGTTAGTCGTGAGTAAACGCCCAAACACCACTCATAACCAGTGACAACAAAAAGAAAGACAGGAAAAAGACCAGACGGCCACCAATCCCGACCTGTTTCCTCACCCGTCTCCCATGAGACCCCCCACTAGTCGAGGACGAGCGAGAAGGAACTAAAATAAGAAGGACCGCGATATAGGTCAGGGTAGATACCTGAACCGGCAATAGTCCAGAACCATCGAGCTGCGCCAAAAATTCAATAGCCGTGCCGGCTCGCATTGAGGCCCCTGAAGACAACGAACGAACAGACCCGAACCGACCGGGTTCCGGGCCCCCGGGGGCGGCCCCTTTGCTTGCCAACTGTGCTAGACTCCCCGTTGCCAAAGGCAGTGCAGTCTACACCACACCACACGCACTTGGAGAGAGATAGAGAGGGACCCCTCGAATCGATCGAACCAAAATCGAAGCTCGGCCGTTGCATGACGCATCTGCGGGCGCAGGGGGGGCAAGGTACGACGTGATGAGGCAGCTTTGGGGGTTGTACAGGAGACAGAGGGTGTGCGTAATGGGGGTTCAAGGGAAGGGGTGAAGGTGGTTGGACACCTCTGATTGCGTGAGGCTGTGTTAGCCAAATGGGGGAGGTGCATCATACAGCGCTGATGGGGTAACATTGAAAAAATATACACCCAACCAAACCCCTCCTTCAAAGTGTAAAAAAAAGTTCCCTAGTTTCGAGTATTCACAAGAAAAAGAGGGCACAGCCTACCTCACGGACACCCACACCCCGGCTCCCAGGCCCCCGTCGACCGCATCACCGCAGGCCCCGCGCGCTCTTCCTCTGTTCCTCGCAGCCCGTCTTACACTTGGGGCACACGTGGTCCGGGTGCTTGGCAACCTCGACGCGGATCACGCATCGGGAGCAGCGCCACCACCTCGCGTGATAGGTGCGCGACTTGAGCCACTCGTCGTCAACAGGACTATTGCGCTTACAGACGTCCTCCTTGTGGTAGTCTCGCAGGTGATCGCGGTAGTGGTCCAGGCGCCCGAACCCCTTTTCGCTGCGCGCACACTTCTTGTGGTCACACTGCCAGGAATCGCGCACCTTCTCGCTGATGTGTCGTTGCGTGTAGTGTCGCTGGAGGTCGGCCTGGCGTTTGAAGTGTTTGGCGTCGCATTTGGGCCACATGCAGACATAGCCCGAGGTCGACTCGTCTCCCTCGTAGCTGTCATTGTCGGCCGTCCTGCTTTTGGATTTGTGATGAGGTATGGATGGGCTTTCGCCCGTGTACGCAAACTCTGGCCGGAGTTTCCAGTAGCCGCCGTCGTCTGTATAATGATATATGTAGTGCGCCCAATCTGTCGGCGAGACGCCGTCATCTCCGTTTGTCAAGGGTGCTCTCGGTGAGTCCCCTTGCATCGAGGCACGACCGTGACGTCTTTGTCTCAACGGGCCAGTGTCCTCGTCGGCGGTCTGGTGGCTAGATGAGGCAGGGCTATTGGAGGGGTTGCTGTACGCGCCAGTGTCCTGGCCGTAGCTGTCCTGGCCGTAGTCATCCCGGCCATAGTCGTCCCGGTCGTAGTCTGTGTAAGAGTACACAGCACGACTGATGGATGGTGAAGGAAGGGAGTCTGGCCGTCCGTATGAGGAGCCGCTGTCGGACGGTTGTCGTGTGCGGCGGATGGCTCTGGGTGACAGGGCAACTTCTGGGTAGGAATAGTCTGACGAGACACTGCGCTCCATGGCGTAGTGTCTTGTGTGGTCGACGTAATAGTTCATGTTGCCCTGCAGATAGGGTGAGACTGGTGTGAGTATAGTTGATCGAGCTGTCCGGTGTTTCGGATTCTGGTGGTCCTATTAGTACGGATAACGAGAGATGTAATGGGAGGACGAGGCGGATTGTCGTGCTTTTAATAACCATCTTAAGTCAAGAGGTGGACGGGGCAAACAGCAATCGTTGAAGGACTTACATGAACGACAACGGAGGGCGGAACCGCAGGAGCCGGAGTCGCTCAACTATGCAGTTTGGCGGATCAAATGCGGACATCCACCACAGGAACTCGAGCCGGTTGGGTCGTGTACAACAACACGCCTGCCGTGGGCTTCCAAACCCGTTGAACAAAGGCTCAATACGGTTCCTCAAGAGGGCGACCAAGTGTTCGAGATTCAGAGAAGAGCACTTCTTGCAGTGAGGCGGATTTCAAGAGTCTCGTTGCCTCGTCATATACACAACGTCGATGAAGGAGGGGCATGGGGTGAGGAAGCGTTGTTCAAGTGACACTTTCCTCCCGTTGATCGGTCAATGGGAAGGGTGGACATAAAGGCAAATCGCAGCAGCGGACTGTCTGTCGTAGATATGGATCCGTATACGCCATTTGACAGGTCAGAGTGTCACAGCCGCAATCCTCAGCCAATCTGACGAGGATCAAAGTGAAAAGAACCGGGCTAAAGCTTGAGGTGGGCGGTAGATGGCGAAATTAAGGTACTGTCCTCACACTTGACATGGTTGGGCTTGTGGTGGAGTGCGACTCATGCGGCCAGGCAGGGACATGGCTGACCAGGGGTTGGCCTCAGAACCACTGGATTACCCGATGCAAGGCCTCGGAGCTGCTTCTCGGTGAAGGATTAGAAGGTTGTAGATGAGGCTTGGTTGGGCCCTAGAAGCCACCTTCTTCGTGACCAGTCTCGGACACGACACAGAGGGGATGGATGGGTCGACCTACTGGTGTGCCAGGTCAGAGGGGCCAGACACCCAACACGCACGCCCTCAGACACTCTGACAAGAGGGCGAAGTGTCGTAGGTTGTATTAGGCCACCCATACATGTGCTGAGCATACACTCCTGTTCGGCAGGGCTGCCGGAAAGTAGAGTCCCAGATAGGCCCAAGATTCACTAGTTGGATCGCGAATAGCTGGCCCTCGGCGCACCCCATGGCAAAAGTGTCAGTCGGCCCATGGTTTGTGGTCCAATTGGCATGGGGCCAGTGTTTGGTTCATCTTTGCGCGAGCCTGAAACCGAACAGGCTGAGGCTAAGAAAACGAAGAGGAAAGCCTGGAAGGGAAAAGACAGCACGCAGCGGTGAATGTTGGCTCAGCCAGCGGCAGTGGCTGGTAACGTACTCGCAGATATCGCGACTATGGTGTCCAGATTTGAGCCAGTCATCGACACAAGAACACATGGCTGTGGGCCAAGACGGTGGGTAGGCTCTAGGCAAGGCTCATCGCTGCAGATGAAATGGCCGCTTCCAAGTGACAGCCCAGGCACCTTCTGGACCGTTGGAAGAACACCAAGACCAGGGGTGGGGGGTGGTTCGACTTGTGCTGTTACTGGTGCTCGGTGGTGCTGCTGCTCTTGTTGCTGCCTAGAGCACTGCCACCTTGGGCAAAATGGGGCTGCTGCAAGCGCGCGTGCGCGACGACGTCGCTGCAAGTCGGGGACTCTGTGCCAAATGTAGCGGTAAACCCCAATCCAAACATGGCCATACCATCAGTGTCCTGCTTCCTTGCACCAAGTTAAAGGGTCAATGCTGGGTCCGGCAGCTAGGCGATACATGGTCCAACCGGGGAGGGCCCATATCCAGGGCTGGCTTCAAAAGGGCAGGTTTGCCTCGCGCTGACTACCTCAAGACAGATAGGTACCTTAGGTTCCGACAACAGCGCCGTTACAACACAGCACAGCACACACGCAAAAGAATGCTGTTCGGCCGAACAGGCTGTCGTCGAAAGGCCGGGGAGAGGAGCGAAGGAGACGTGCGGGCATCGGTTCGGACCCGAGATCGACTGAAGGCGGCTGAATGGAGACGAGATGGCATGTGGACGGACGAAGAGGATAGGTGCGTCTGTGGGCTTCCTCTATCCTGCCAGCAGCTTGAACGACTGCTCGGTGTTCCGCCATTCTAGGGGGTCGGTTCGCCAAACTATGGCGGACAGTCAGGCGTGACCTTCATGCTCGAGACAAGGCGTCCAAAGGCCATGGCAAAAACAAGGCTGTCGATGGATCGACAGGCGGACAAAGAATGCGTGGCTTCGATCGGCAGCATGTGCCGATGCGATGCTACGTGTGAGATGGAGAGATCCTGCCTTACTATCGGATCGGGCACATGATGCTCCTCGCGTGTTCTGGTGTTGATGTGAAAGTGCTGAAGAGGAGAGGCAGCACGAGGGGGGGGAGAGGCGTACGAGTGAGAGTACGGAAACGACAGCCAACCTCAGCTCTGCACAGGGAGAGGCAACCCCACTTGAATGTACCTTATCCTGACCTTAGGTAAGGCGACTCAGGGTGAGTGGCCACCCCGTAGAATCACGCAAGCTCCTGCCCATGGAGGTACCCAGCCTCCAGAGGCAGACAGACGCCAGGCACACTCAGACATGAACCTTCACACCGTCATTCGTAATACAACACTAAACCAAGTCCTAGTAGCCTACAGCTACCTAGCTGTAGCGATCGCTGTCACGCAGGCCAAACTGGCCAGACGGCAAGTAGAATTGTGCACGTAGTCCTGTCAGCCAGCCCTACTGTACCAGTAACGGTCCTCGAGACGATCCCCCGTCCCTGACCACGTGTCCGAAAGCAAGAAAGGCAACGCAACGCCGATTCCCAAGGCTCTCAACCCAGAGAGATCCTTGGCCCGCGGTACCAACCTGCGTCCGTAAAACATTTTCCATGTGCTGATACTCATACATCGTCCTCGAGGAACTTGTAGGCGAACTTGAAGTCGGCCTTCCGTCGGTTCATCCTGTCACGCGCATGTTAGCTGCTGGGCACTGCGACGACGGGTGGCGGCACGAACCATGTGGATTCATAGTCAAAAAAACGGTAAGTGCCCTGCTCGAATTCTTCCGTGATGCTCTTCGGCTCCTCATGTCGTTGGAACCAAGTTTGGTATTGCTTGTGGAACCTCCAGCTCTGGTCCTTCAGTGCTTTGGCTGCAAGGTACTGCTGCGGTGTTCCCTGCTTGTAGTAAAACACATAGAAAAGCGTGTCCGGCTCGATGCGTTGGTATAGCCGGGGGTCGTCCAGCAGGGCGAGGGGCTCCTGAGGAAACCCTGTTCCGGTAGCAGGGACCCGCACGTCCGGTCGATATGTTCTAGGGACCTCCGAGTCCAGCGGGTCAGGGCATGTAGCCTGGCTGGTCTGCAGCATGCGCAACGTCGCCGGCGACGACAGGCTCGCAGGCTTCTTGCGCGTCACCTCGAAGGACTCGACGAGATCCTGAAGCGAGGCAGGCAGGTGATAAATGGACTCCTCTTCGCGATCCTCCTGGGTCGTCTTGCTATGCGCCGTTCCGTTGGCACGCGCCGTCGTCCGAGCTTCGGCCTCCGCTTGTTCGGCAAGCTTGCGCTGTTGTCGCTTGCTTCGAACAGGCTCCACGGGTTCCACTGCCGTTGCTGCTTTGCTCGCAGCCTTGCTCTTCTCCGCCTTTGCGGGAGCAGGCGTCGCGCGTGTGCTAGCTGTTAGGGCCTCGGTCGCACTGCTCGAAGAGGCGGGTGCCGGCGCCTTGGGCTCCGTCTTCTCCACAGCAGCTGGCTGCGCTGCCGTCGTCGCTGGTGAGCTCGTCGCGCTCGCTGCGCCCGTCTTGACTTGGACCGTCGACGGCGCAACAGGTGAGGGCGACATGCCTGGTGGGGGCGGCAAAGGTGCGATGCCAATCTTATCGTTCGCAGCAGCCGCAGCAGCCGCAGATGCGTACTTGAGTCCCTCGGCTGGCCTTGCTGGGACGGAAGCCGGCTTCATGACCGGCCCTGAAGACGTACCGTTACTAATCGTTGCCAGGGGTGTATGTAAGGTGGCTAAAGCAGGCAGTGGTGATTTCACCTGCGCACTTGGTCGTCGCGTTGATGCCGCTGCAACTTCTGCTACCTGTTTCGCCTTGGCTACAGCCACAGGCTTGACAACCTCGGGTTCTGGCGTCGCCTCTTCTGCCAGTGACGCGTTGTCTTGTGACGAACCCTTATCCTCCTGCGGCACACCGAACACGCCCTCTTCCTCGTCCAGGTTGAGTTCGTCGTACATTTCTTCGTCTTCGATAAAGTCGTCAGTCAAGCTGTCGGTGACGTAGTAGCGGATCGTTTCCTCCAAATCGGTCACCTGTTCGGTGTCGATGCCCCCGTTCTCCAATGAGCGCCGGATCAGCTCCAGCTTGCCTTGATGCCACTTATGTCGCTCTATGATGCGGTCAATCTCGGCGATCCGATCTGCCTTGGCGCCCTGGCTCTTCCCCTTCTTCATCGTGGCTTGTATGGATTCGGACTCGGCCTCGAGCGTCTCGATTTGCAGTTCCAACTCGTCCACCTGGTTCCCAAGAAACTCGCCAGCTTCGGCTCTGGCTTGTTCTGCTGGATCGAGCTTCTGAGACGAAGCCAACCCTTCTTTGGAGTAGGCTTTCGTCTTCATGGCCTTTTCGACGGCTTTGAAGCGTTCCATTTGCTATTTTTCCATGTTAGTCAGGGGACATGGCAGCAGCACGCAGACGCCAAAGGGGGATCGTCTTGCTGCGCCGGTGCGGGGATGAAAGTGTCGTTGTGTGTGTGTGACGAACCGTCTCAATCAGCTTTCGATGCTCGAGTAAAGGACCCTTGTCCTTGATGTCGTTGCTTGCGGCCCATGTCTTGATCTGATCTCGCATCCGCTGCAGTTTCTTGATCTCGCGCTTCAGGTTGTCCTCCAACTTCTCTTTTTGGGAGAGGTTATTGGACTGCTCGATCTTCTCGTAAATGGCCTCGAACTCGGCCACGCCTTCTGCCACCTTCTTGAAGCACTTCTCCACTTCTTGCTGCAGTTTTCGTGCGGCCATGATGACTTGTGATCGCGAGATGGAAGCAGGCGTTTGTACAGAACAGGTAGGTCGTCTTCGAGGTGGAAGACTGGATGATCCCGGCTATTGGGAGTCGACGTCGGGAATGTGTTAGCGGCGCCAGGCGCGGGTTTACGTCGTCCAGTAATGTTGTCTGACCCGCACGCTGATCAGATGAGGTGGTTCGAAGAAGCGTCGTGCGTCGTCCCGCGGAGACAAGTGTTGTTGGGGTGTCAATCGTGATTGCGCAGTGTGAAGGAAGTTTGCTTCCCGAGAAGGCTGTTTCGCGAATGGTGATTGACGGAGGAAGGTGCCAGCATGCTCAGGTACCTCCAGTATTGCACAGTGCGTCAGAGCCGCTAAACTAGGCGGCGAGCAATAGCACGTGATCGGTTAATATGATGACTTGCAAGCGGGCAGGCGCCAGCAATGCTTCAGTTAGCTGATCATCTATACGGCAATGGAGGAGCATTTTTTAATCATCGGTTTCATTCGTGTGAGCCCTTTGTCTTGGTCGCACGTCGGGCTCAGGAAGGGGTTTTCGGCATGTTGACGAGCTCAAGCGACGAGCACCCCTGAAAACTTCAGCGCACCAAGTCATCCTCTCACACGTCTCTCACACGGAGTACATGCAAACAGCTCGCTCAATCGAGTAGGCACGTAGGCATTAAAGTGGGCCGGGAGTGAATGAACTGCGCGGTGTGACAGCCAAGTGACCAGACGACAGGGATGCAAAGCACGACCACCGTGCAATGTGGCATGGTGTGAGCAGTTGTTCGAGTACCGTCGACAGTCTGGGTAAAGCACGTCTTTTGATCCCTCGGATGGTTATAGTGCGGGCAGGTTCAGCACCCTAGGTCGGGCATCGCGACCGTGGACGATCTTTCCAATTCCAAGTACCTTGTGCCCAAGGGCTTTTGCGTAGTCTTGTGGGTGAAGATACTTTAGTCGTCATCATTCAGCCTAGAGCTTTTCCAGCCTTCACGGTTTCCAAGTGTTCATGGCGTTGCATCATGGTGTCCGAATTCTACGGGTTATATTCATGTGAAATTAGGTAACAAAATGGTAGTATCTGGGCCACCGCTGGGATATCTTCAAACCCTAGAATGTCATATTTCGTGCCAATCCACTACATGTAGGTACCTAGCTATTGATGCCGGTTCAGACGGAGCCCCAGTCCAATAACCTCGCTTTCCATGCACCACCACCATCAACGTTCAAGCACAGCCAGAACGATACGTAGAGTGACAAAACCAGCTTCCCCTCTCTTCCAATATGAAAGGCACGTTTCTCTCCTCTATACCTCCAAGGCCCATTACTGACAAGCACCAGCAATCATTCAGCGGGTTTTGTCAGCCTCCGTGACAGTGGATAAGGAGGTCATATCTTCCATAGGAAAGGGAGTTCTAGTCTTTGCGGCAGTGGCTCCTGGAGACACAGAAAGAGAGGCAAAGTCCTTGGCTGCCAAAGTCCTGAAGATGAAGCTTTGGGATGACGACTCAGGCGGCAGAGTGAGGGAGCATTGCAAACTCTTATCTCGAGAGCAATCGCTGACACGGTCGTCCGACTCCATAGTGGAAGCAGAGCGTCAAAGACATTGAAGGAGAGGTTCTCTGCGGTACGGCCACCCAGAACACGAAAAGGGCACTTGCTGACACAGTGACAGTGTCACAATTCACGCTGCTGGCCAAGACGACCAAGGGATCCAAGCCAGACTTTCATGGTGCCCTGGGCGGTGATGAGGCCAGCATACTATACCACTACTTCTTCCAGGAGGTCCAGAAAGGTTACCTTGCCGACCGCGTGAAGAATGGAAAATTCCAGGCCATGATGGAAGTGGCCTTGGTCAACGATGGGCCGGTAAGTCAACAGACCTATCCAAAGTTCGATATCCTTCCCCAACGGCTGCTGAACATCCTCACAGGTTACGCTTGAGCTAGCAGCGTCACCCCCACCCCCGCCTGGCAACGCGAAATCGACGTGAAGAGACTGGCGAGCGCCAACATGCTAAGACCATCTACATAACCAAAGCATTTAAAAAAAAAATCGTTCCACAGATGGCCTTCGTCATTCGCCCTGCGGCGCGACGACCAGCCGGTGCAAAGCTCTGGGGAGGAGTGTGAGACTAGCCAATGCCCCGCACTACCAACCGTGACCCTAGCTAGAAACTTCCAGAGCGACTGAGCTGCATGTAGGCAAACGTGAACCCCACCTCCACCTTCTCACATCGTCACAGACGTGCCTTTTCCTTCTTTCTCCAAAGCCTGCTTATTCGCGGACACTCCTCCTCTTCGTTTCCAATTGCTTCAAGCAGCACGATCTGAAGCTTCAGGGACCCATCACTTCGTCAAACTTGCCCCCGCGCGCAAATCAACACCAACCGCGCTCGAGCTACCAATCGAAACCCCCACTACCGGCCATACCACTCTCCACGACACACAATGTCTACCGACGCTGCCCCTCCCGTCGAGGATAAGGAGAAGCGCAGTCGCGTCTTCTTCGACATATCCATTGGCGGAAAGTCTGCTGGCCGTGTGACCTTTGAACTATACGATGATCTCGTCCCCAAGACTGCCGAAAACTTCCGCGCCTTGTGCACCGGTGAGAAGGGCCTGGGCAAGTCTGGCAAGCCCCTCCACTACAAGGGCTCCATCTTCCACCGCATCATCAAGCAATTCATGATTCAGGGCGGCGATTTCACCGAAGGCAACGGCACCGGCGGCGAGTCCATTTACGGTGCCAAGTTCGCCGACGAGGCCTTCCCCAAGACTCACGACCGCCCCTTCCTGCTCTCCATGGCCAACGCTGGTCCCGGTATGTGCATCCCAGCCTCCCAATGGAGCTCTCACACCCCCGTACCAAGAGCTGAACCGAGCTGATCTCTCGTGATGCCTCCCGCAGACACCAACGGCAGCCAGTTCTTCATCACCACCGTTCCCACACCCCACCTTGACAACAAACACGTCGTCTTTGGCGAGGTCCTTAACGGCAAGTCGATCGTCAGACAGCTCGAGAATCTGCCCACCCAGAACGGCGACAAGCCAGTCAAGGACGCCATCATCGCCGACTGCGGCGTCCTTACGGGCGACGCCGCGCTCGCCGCCGATGTCAAGGCCCCCGACGCCATGGGCGATGCCTATGAGGACTTCCCCGAAGACTGCGCTACGCCCCCCGAGGCCGCCGAGGTCCTCGCCATCGCCACGGCCTGCAAGGACTACGGCAACCGTGCCTTCAAGGCCGGCGACCCCGCCCTCGGCCTCGAAAAGTACCAAAAGGGTATCCGCTACCTGAACGAGGAGCCCGACCTCGAGGCTCTTCCTGAGGCGGACCGCCCCGCCCTCCAGGCCCAGCTTGACGCTCTGCGCTTCGCCCTCAACAACAACTCGGCCCTTCTCGCGCTCAAGCTCGAGACCTTCGACGACGCCCACCGCTTTGCCGACGCGGCCCCTCGCCGCCGCCGACAAGCCCGCCGCCACCGTCAAGGATGCCGACCGCGCCAAGGCCCTCTACCGCCGCGCTTCGCCTCCGTCCGCCTCAAGGACGAAGAGCCGCCGTTGCTGATCTCGAGGCCCGCGCACAAGCTCCGGGCCCGCCCGACGGCCTCATCCTCAAACGAGCTCAACTCGGTCAAGCAAAAGGCTGCTGGCGCCGCTCCCGCCCAAGGAGAAGGGCCGCCCTACAAGAAAGTTTCTTTTGCATGAGCTTCCCCTGTGAACGGCGTATGGGGGTTTTTTCCGGAAAGCGGCCCAAGACAGGTGAGGGGAGCGGGGGAAGCCAACACGAGACGTCGGGGCCAAATTCTTCAGGTCGACAGAGGGGGCTCGGCGCATTGCGCGCGTGCCCCGCGGTTTCTTTCGATTTTGGTTCCTTCTTTTTTTATTGCTTCACGGAGATGATTTGATGACCGGCGTAAGGATGATAGGCAACCCGAGAGGCCATGACGTTGGAGCGATACCGAGGAAGAACAAAAAAAGAGAACAGCATTACACGGCAGTCCCCCCACCCAACTAGATACCTCGATCAAACATGATCCACCATTGACACGATACTACATCACAACGGGCTACATAGGCATCGGTGACGTGATCCTGGTTTGAAATATGGAAGGGTATATATGTATATGAACTGGCCCATGAGCTGGCCCCCTCCCACCGCTATGTCGTTGAATCCGCTTGGCCTATTCCTCCCCAACACACAAACGCCGGCCGGTTACCCTATCCCATCACCAAAGACGCCTCTCTATCCAGCCGTGATTCAAATGGTCAGGCACTACTTGACTTTTGTGGAATGCCGAGCCCTACTTTTTTGAAGGGGGGGGGGGGGGGGTTGGCAACTGTCCCGTCGCGGCACGTGTGGCTTGCGTCAAGGTCATTTCATCTCAGTTGCCGTGATGTTTCGTACGCTCCTGACTCTTCCCGGATCTAATGGTAGGTGATGCATGTTCTGGCGAGTCGCTCCGCGCGAACGGCTTCATGATCCCAGATAGGATCGTGCGGGTGGATCTGCTACCCCCATTTCGCTTCAGAGTGCCGCCACTGCCGGAAGAAATATTTGTCGCAAATGTGACTTCGGACTGGCCAGATGCATGCCGTGTAGGATTCGACATCTCTCGTCCCCGACGATGTTCTTTACTTCGTCGAGATGGTTGAGAGGCGTCGGGGGCCACGTCACTGCCTGCAGATCGAGGTGGGCGAAGGCCGGCGTCGGATCTGTAGCCGTAGCTATCCGGAGATGGCATAGCCTGAGTCGGCGTGCTGCAAGACTGGTTGATCGCATCGAGGGTGCTCTGCTCAAGAACATCGGCAAGCTCCGACACTGGGTTAGGTCCACCCTCGATTGCCCGATATTCCTCCATCTTGGCGTGGCAGATGTCCGTGCGCCTCTGTAGGTCGAGACACATGTCATTGAAGATCAAGACGTCGTCCTCTCCTCCACCATTGGCGTGTGGTATTTTGGAGCCCAAATTCGCGAACGGGTTGACGTCTGCCCAGAGCTTGATGAGGGCAGCAAAGTTGCGGGCGTGGTCGATGACAAAGGGCAGCGCAGGGAAGCCTTCGCGTGCGTTTGGCGACAGACGGCCGAGGATTGTGATAGGGGTCGAGTAAGATGGTCCAAGAGCAACCTTGTTCCGCTCCACGGGGATGGCGCAGATGGCATCGATGTATTCCCTGACCGACTGTCGCTGGGCAGTCAAAAACTTGTTCATAGGCTCCATCCACTCCTCTTTCTTGCCGAACGTCGAAAGGTTACCCAGTGCCTGAAGAGCCTTCGCAATCAACGTGAACGTTCGTTGCGCCCGTGGTCGGGGATGGTCTCGGAGGAGCCCGAAAAGCTTTGGACTCAGGATTGCCGGACAAATGAATCGGAGGAAGAGGAAGCCAGAAACACTGGTGTAGGTGACTGTCCGTAGCCAGTCGCCATATCGGTCTTCCGCTACAGCGCGGACGTACTTGAGAATCGACCGCAGCTCCGAAGGGCATTTCGTAGGCTCCTTTGCAATGCACTGCCAAACCTCGGTGGCTGCCTGTAGCAGGCGGTTCCAATTTTGAGCCAAATCTTCGCCGGGCTTCAGCTTGCTGGGATCCACCTCGCAATTCGGGTTCATCTCGTTGATTTCGCTGATTTTGGCCTGCAAAATGGTCTCAAGATATTCTTTTCCGGATCGTCTCATGTGAAACTCGAGCGCCTGAGTGAAAAGCGTGTTGCCCCTGAAAAGTAGATTGGCCTCACCAGCGAGCGATTTGCCCGTTTCGCGTACCAGCTGCTCACGGTCGCTTGCAGATTCCAGAGACTCGTTGGACTTGAGGCGGCTGCTGAAACGGTATTTTGTCATCTGCGCTTGACTACCAACACCGTCTATCTCGTCTTCAACTAGTGTCTGCAGCCAGTCATTCGCCTGGCCCGAGACTTGGAAGATGTTGAGGAAAATCTCCGACAATTTTCCGTAGCTGGGCCAGGAAGGGCGTGCGCAATCTGGGTGGTCAGGCCCGATGGGAAGCTATGCAGCAGGTTCGAAAGAGCCTGGTACTCATTTGAATGCAGGACCACGAGCTCTTCGTAATGAACCTTGACCAGCATGGTTCCTACAAAGTGCTGCCGCACATCGAGCACCTCGAACCAGCGCTCAAGGTCCTTCCCCGAATCGATGAGATCCAAAGGTATATCGACGGCGCCGCAAAGAGCTTCAGACAAGTTTCCAAACTTGGACACATTGGCCGATGGCTGAAGCTGCGGGTGCAACATGTCCAGGTTGCCATCGACACGCTTCAAGATGATTGACAAGAAGGGCAGTGCTGCAGGAAGGTCGATGAACTGGTATTCTTCCCTCCAATATGGATTTTTGGTGCCCGACTTCAGTGGGGTGCGCGCTCGAACCTCTCCATCGAGGATGACCTCTGCAAGATAGTTGCCGATGAGCGGATCGCTGTCAGCCTTGGAATGGCGGTCATGTGGGGGCAACTCTGGGGATCCCAGCTTCTGCTTCAACTTTGCCTCAGTGACGCGGACCGTGATGGTCTTCTCTACTCGGAAAATCTCGCCCGGCCATTCCGCTTCCAAGTCCACAATCTCGAGAACCTGTTCAGTTCCGGGCGAGTCTAAACGATAGATGTCCGGGAGCGCGAATGCACGCAGCAGCACAAACCAAACTTCGAAGAGTAAGCGATTCTCGAATGCCATGTAGACTGGGCGGAAGATGGACAGCTGTGTTGAAATGGTCGAGTAATGTGGGAATATGGCGATGCAATACTCCTCATCGAGCACCGATTTATGGAGTTGCTGGATGGCGCACCGCGAAAGCTGTGACAGCTCTACCACGGCAATGACCGAGTCTCCGTCATTGGTAGTGAGCCTGATCTCGCCGTTCTCCTGAAGCAGGCACGACACAAGCCTCCAGGATATTGTCTGAGACCGCAGATCACGCGTCGACGGTCTCTTCACGATCGCTCGGGGTGATGTCGCCAAACCCTTGTCCCACAGCCTGACCTGGCCGACTTTGATGAAATTGGTAGACTTGGGGGCGGCGCCATCAGATCCGCGAGATCGCAATGGCGGTCGAACCGACGTTGGTGTCGTGTTGTTGCTCCCGTTGGACAATTTGACCTTTGGGGGTCTGAGCTGCTGCCAACAAAGCAAGGCGGCCAACCACAAATCCCGCTCATCAGCCAGCGTTGGGTGTATCAGCAGCTCCACCGACACCTGGTTGGGTGATGTGGACAGAATCTGTAGGCACCGCCGCTCAGGCTGCGTCAGGTCCATGGGCGTGATTCGGCAGCCTCGAAGGTCTTGTATGAGTGTGTTGTGGAAAGGTCCGTTACGGCCGGAGTCGAACATGAGCGACCCTTTCTCCTCGTCGATATATCCAATACCATTCTGCCATGGCGATGAGAGGTCGGTCTGGAACTCAATCTCACCACGCATGCGACCGCAGAGCGTCTTCATGAGAAGAAGGACCTTGTTCGCGTCATCAGTTGGGACCGGTATCGGTAGCGAGTCCACGGAAGGAGTGGTTATTTGCGGCGATGTAGGTCGGGAAGACTGGCGCTTGATAAGGCGCCTGCTCGATCCTTTCTTCTCCTTTCCTGTTGTCGTGGTGATTTCTGGTGGTCTTGTTTGCGTTATGGAGGGATATCCCATCGACTCGATCGGGAGGGGTGGCGGTGGTCGATTGTCGTCGAAGACAACTTGCGAGCCGGAGGAAGAGAACGAGCCGACCCGATGGCGTCCCTCGACAGATGACGCTGCCGCATACTGCTGTCGAAAGGCGCCATCCATGGTATGGGTACGCGGGCGGAAGCTACCGCTCGTTTGTCGCGGGGGTGGCGGGCTCGAGGAGTTACTGTCGTAGGACGCGCCGAATGTGTCGTTGAACACGACACCCTGGCGTCTGACCATGTCTCCCGGGCGCGGAATGGAGCGCGGGGAGCTCTGAGGCGAGGTGGAGCCGAGTTGCGTTCGGGCGGGGAGAGCTGGGGCGGCAGATGCGTGATCGTGGTGGTTGTGGGCGTGGTGGGCATGGGTGTGAGCGTGGGCGTTGGCATGCGCGCTATCCTCTCGACTCGAGAACTCGGGTGTCACTGCGCGGATGGTGTTATGGGAGGAGGAGACCGTGGTGCGGAAAGCTGTGCGCAGGTTGCTGGTGGAGAGACGTTCGAGGCCGCGAGACGGGGTTGGGTCACGGTGTGCGTCGAGAGGGGTGTTCTGGGGCCATTCCAGAGGCGGGGTGGGATTGTGGGTGCCTGGGTTGGTCGGGTGGAAGGGTCGTCCGTCCATGTCGGGAGGCAGCATCGTCATGCCATTGCTTGACGGCATCGGCAGGGCGCGCTGGTAGAAGGTCGAACAGAGGGTAGTGGTCTGCAAATCGGAAGGCCGATATTATTCTAGGTCGAAAGGTACCTCGGCCCTGT